CGCCGAGCCGCAGATGGTCCTGGCCAGGCTCCTGACGGTGCTGGGCTCGGCGGCGGCGCTGACCCTGCTGCAGAGCTCCCTGAAGTGGCGCCGGAGCCTCCTCGTCTTGGTCTTCTCCAGCCTGGTGTGGCTGGTGTCGCTCACCAGCCTTCCCTCGCTCCCCCCGGCCCTCAGACCGCTGCTGGCAGGCTCGGTCGGGGTGGCTGGCTGCCTCCTGGCACTCTGCGGCGGGGAGCACGGCATCTTCTCGGCTCAGAGCCGAGGAGCGCACCACCAGCATCATCACCACCCACGGCTCCCCAGCGCGGAGGAAAAAGTGCCTGTGATCAGACCCAGGAGGAGATCGAGCTGCGTGTCCTTAGGAGAAACGTCGGCCAGCTACTACGGCAGCTGCAAAATGTTTAGGAGACCCTCGCTGCCTTGCATTTCCAGAGAGCAGGTAGGTTTCTCCGAAACTGGAGGGAGAAACTTTCTGAGGAGTGAGCGCCGCTCGCTTTTCCTGACTGCTGTATGTGTGTGTGGGATGTCTGCTAACTGTCAAACTCCGTTTAGAGGAATGGAGGAAAATGTTAGTTAGTCCCTTAGCGGGTTTCTCAACTCGGTTCTGCAGAGTCGATATAATCCTAGATTATGCCCGTATAGAAGCTAAATCATAATAATATATTTGCTCTAGGACAGAAGGCTCGCTTGTTTTTCATAGGATCTTTAATAATAAAATGTCGGGTTTATTGATTAAAACAAACCCCCGAACCAAACATCTGCAGCTGTCGGCTACCTTGTTATTTTAATTGTTTCTTTTCCGAAGCCCACCATCTCCTCCGCTTCTGACAGACTTTACGAAAGGAACCCCAGCTTTCTAGCTGCTCGGCGCTTCTGGTTCTTCCCGCTTTCTGTCGACAAAATGATTGCCAAGTGCTAAAGAAAAACCAGGTTTTAAGGGATATTATTTATCAAATGTTGGCGTTGTTTGAGTGGCAGCTGTCCTGCCTTGCAGATTACTGTCTCTTGTTTCCCTCTCACCCTCTTTCCCCTGCTCCCCGTAAATTAACATTAGGTTTGGGTTGATGGGATTTAAGAAACTTCTTTTTACTGAAGAGAGAGCTGTTCAGTAGAGTCTGGAGGGATGCCCGAAACGCTCAGTTTTCTTGAATGGAACTCTGTTGGTTTCTACCTCCCGGAAAACTTTTCAATGAGTCTTGTTTTTTGTAGCGCAAACCCCCGTGTGGGGGGAGTTTGTTTTTATTTGGGAACTTGCACGTGAGCTGGAGGAACACCGAGGTGTTGCCGGTGGAACTGGCCCGTGGCTGCTGCAAGTGGATTATCAGCCCGTTATAGGAGGGAGAATAAGGGGAGTGTATTCAATAAACGTGCAAAAGTGAACAGTGCAAGTGAACAGTTTTTGGGAAGTGATTTTTGCTGCAGAATCCTCCATCTACTGCTGCTGTGGCTGAAATTCATGGATACTAAATGAAATCTTCTAATTTTGCTTTGACGTGTATTCTGTAACGCACTTCTTGTGACTGACTGTGAAATAGGTCTGAGGAAATAAGAGGTGAATCTGAAACGGTGGAATAGTTTTCGAGCATTTCTGTCCTTGCATTTGCACAATAGAATAATACAGCGGTAATTGTTTTTGCATAAAAGGTTAAAATGCAAGTATGGTGTAACAGGCCTCAGAAATAACTCATTCAGTAAGTGTCAAATTATCTAATGCATACTATGAAAGAAACATTAAAATATTATACTAACAATTAAGATACACAGGGAATATTGTATAATAATTTCTCTGCTCCCTTCTGGGATAGTAAATGCTTTATTTCTGTCACATTTTTCTGCAGTACAAAAACCTCAGAAAATGTGGTTTCATTAACCTTTCTAGATTATAGAAGATATTTGTTCTTATGCAAGTTACTAACTGCTTCCTTTAATATTCGTCTCACTTCCTAAAGGCATGTGCATATTTCAAGTTAAGGCATTTATTATTCTTTAAGTAACATCATAAATGTCAACCATAACTAAATACATAGAATTTATTGGCAGTACTTAAATCATACCTGTTCATAATAAATTGTAACTGTTTGGTAGACTTCCAGAATTTGATATCTTTGTTATCACTAGAAGTGAACAGAAACAACAAAGAGATCTGAAGTTCTTTATTTTCCTAATAGTCTATTATGCTTTATGATAAATATTTGTGCTTTATTAAGCACGGTTTAAATGGGATTTGTAGATATATGTTCTATGCAGTACTTTATATGTGATTTTTATAGGGATAACACAGGTTAAATCCTCTGATCTCATATCTGACTTGGAGAGAGATCAGACATTGCAGAGCTGATAAAACATCAGTTGTTTTCAAGGGGGGGGAAGTAAGCCCATAGTGTGTGACTTTATTTGAATAAACACTGCAAGGTTTTTATATCGCTTCCTTGAAACAGAAGGAATTTACGCACTTAATGCTTTTCAGAGGGCATTTATTATGTGAATTTTCTTTAAGGACTGACTATGTTTTGCAGATCTTTATACAATATTGCAATGATTCTTTTCCAATATTAGTATTTTAAGAGTGAGTTTAATGAGCATTGTTAGGAAGATCAGTGGAGTACAAGGAGTGTGCTGCAGGTCCAGCATGACAGGAATACTTTGATGAATGTGAGCTAAGTTGCTATTGTGATTCTGTTAGGTGTATTTTGTATGATTGTTAATGAACCTCTTGTATGTAGAGGCTTGTATGAACCTCGGCAACCAGGGGCACATAAGAGCAAAAAAAGGTAGACGTATCAAATCATAAATCATCAGGTTGGAAGAGACCTCAAGGATCATCTGGTCCAATCTTTTGTGGCAAAAGCGCAGTCTAGACAAGATGTCCCAGGGCCTGTCCCGCTGAATCTTCAAAGTGGTGATGGTGAACATGTATGAGAGCAAATAACTGTAGGAACTCATACATCATAACTTCTCAGAATTCAGGAGGTTTTTGTGAGTTCTACAATTCATATTTTTTCTTGAGTAAAGAATAGGCCATCCTAATTAAATATACAGGATATGTGCCCAAAACAGTCGGCAAACAGAGCTGATACTTTTCCTAGTTATCTGACTAGGTTCAAACACGTAGGAAGGCAGGGATATTTCATGGATAAGGACAGCTTTCATGTTGCACTCTGTTAATTATGGGAAGAATTGTCTTGTGGTTAGGTTGTTGGGTTGACCACCGCCTCTCCCCCCTTTCTGTTCCAAGCTATCTTGTACCTTTGATGCGTTACCTTAGGACGATCAGGACTTTTTCAAGAGTCTATAATATTTATGTAACTTGAAATTAATGCAGTTCCTTATTTGCTTAGACAATTTATATTTGTGTCTCTTACCTGTTTGTGAAACAAATTATACTTTGTCCTTAAGTATTCGGGGTATAAACTTTCCGGTGCAGAGGCTATCTGTTAATATGTATTTTACAGTGTCTTAAAATTGTTAAATTCAGATACTGTTTGCAGCCTGGAAACACTTGAGCCTTTACCCATTGACTGCTGCCAATAACATAAACATAGCAAGAGGAGTTACATTTTTTGACAAACTATCTCTTTGAAATTTTAAATTTTCACTAATGATCATCATGACTGTTACCACAAGGGTACTTGCATGTCAAGATTTGTTTCTAGTGTTAACAGAATCTTCTTATCTCTTTGGTTTTTATTGTTTGTTTGTTGTTGTTTTTTCTTTTTTTTAATGGGGAAAATCAAGGTAGAGTTATAGGTGTGTTGAGCTGTGAATGTCATCAGTTTCAACAGGATGTGATGGATTGTGAGGAATATACAAAGAGAAGGATTACATGGTGAAAGCAGGAGTCTTGGAAAACTGTTTTTGCAACCATGTTTTGGATGAGTAGGATTATATTGTTTCTGCCTGGTACCATCTGACCTTGACAAGATGTTTTGCTCTAGATGAAATATAAAATGAGAAGACTTTTGGTAAGAGTTGCATCTTTTATTTTCTCTTTTTTTTTTCCTTTCTCTTTTTTAAAATCATAAAGTTATATTCTTGAAGTATTGTACCACAAAGAAAGGATGATTTGAGCATGGTCTGCCTTTGGGGACCTATAGAGAGGTCAGAGTTTAAGATGGTATCCTCTGGCAAAGTGACCGCCAGGACCATACAGCAGTTCACAGGGAATGACAAAGATGTTATTAGGGAGATCAAGTGCAGTTAAGAACTCAGTTAGCTAAATTTACCTTAAGATGTTTTTTAGATATCTAAGACTTGGTGGCAGTTCATTTTCTGGACAGAAAAAATATGCTAAAAGTGGGGAAACATGTCTGTAAGTTGTCAGTGTAGCAAAGGGGGTCAACTGTTTCTGTAGGTGTGGTTTCCTGGAAAGAAAATGTAAAAGGAAAAAGGAAGGAGATAAATACAAATGCTGTGGAAGTTCTGGAGATGTTTGGAGGAAGGCGAGGGTGGCATATTACCGGAGTGACCAGAGTGCCAGCAGGAAATAAATGGAGAACGTTTGGAGAGAAGGTTCCAAGAACTGCATAATTGACTGTGTCAGACAAAACTAACGGAGTAAATTGGATAAAGTACTCATTTTCAGCTTTGACTAGGAAGACATTTCAAAACTTATGAAAGAAGATTGTAGAGATGAGGAACAAAAGGTTACCAGGAAGGTCTCTAGAATGGCGAAGAGGACAGCCTCCACCCTGCGGTTTGTGAACAGTGTATTCTGTGATGTTAAATATGAAAGGGAAGAAAATTACAAGGAGTCAGGTAGATTTGCTTGATGAAGACTCATGACACAGTGTATGTGTAAGCAAGCGCATGACAGTACCATCCTGATAGTTGAACTTGACCAACTGAACTGACTGAATCCTGTGGCCTTAGAAGTTTCAAAGATATCAAATTCCAGCAAGTTTTATGAAAAAAGCTGACTGAGAAGTGAAGAGACTATGGAATATGCCCCAACAGTGGACAAGTTTGCAGTGTGAGCTGAGCTCTTAAGAATCCACATAATAGTGTTTCTCATGTCATGAGTGAATACCAGAACTGGGGGGTGGGAATTCTGTTAAAGCCTGGGCCTTATTTGACAGTGGATAGGAAAGTTAAATTTCTAAAAAAGCTTTTTTCCTTCTGTTTTGATTTTATGGTACCTAAAAATGAAAACTTCATTCAGCCTTACCATCGTTCAAACAAATCACTGAACAAAGCTAATTGTAACCATCAGGTCTGGTGTTCAGAAACTAGTTGCTAAAGATGAAAAGGAGTAAATCTTATACTTTCGTGCAAAGATAAGGATATCAGGCAGGGAAACTGGGAGATGAAATCTATTCCGTTCTTGATGCAAAAACTTGTGGAGGAAAATAGATGAGAAACTTTTGCCTGCCAAATGAGAAGCAAGAGCAGACCATGGGAGGCTACAGCCATAGAATATTTTGTTGGAATCCCACTGTTTTT